CTGCCGCCCACGAGCGCGAACACCCCAAAGCTACTGCGCACGAGCGGGAACGTAACGAAACTGCCGCTGACGGGCGTGAGAACCACGCAGGTGATGTCTCGCTCTTCGTCTCGTTTTACCCCGCCCTGTCGCCGACGATTGAATCGCGATAGATGGTGAGGCTGCTCGCCCGCGCCGCCCGCCGCCCGTCCATGGGCGGTCCTGCCGCGTCCAACGCGAGGCCGCGGAGGTAGCCGAGACCGAGTTGTTCGAGCGACGTGGGCACGAACGTGACAGCAGACAGGTTGGTCATTAGTTTCGCGGTATGGATCGTGGGGGCCGCTTGTGGTTCACGATCGGCAAGCGGCTTCCCCTCTGGCATCCTGGGCCCGTCTTCTGAGGTTGTCGTCGCCGACGCCTGCTAGCTCAAGGGGCCCCGACGCCCTCGCAGACGCCTTCCGATGCTGCTGCCGCCGCCGGCTGAGCCGTGAGACGGCTGCCGTCGGTCGAAGATCTCGGGGCGCAAGGGCGTTCTCGCGACGACTGAGGGAAGTGCCGCAGTGCTCTGGGGCGTGTTCGAATGGGTCGGGGGCGGTCGGCGCTCGTTTGGCGCCGCGAGCGTTGCCGCCCAAGCTTTCCCCCCGCAGGCGGTTGCATCCCAGGAGCTTCGAGATGGCGAGCGCGCCCGCTCGCCCGACGAGGTGCGCGTGTTAGGATTGCGGAGCGCAGGCGCCAAGACCCTGCCGGCCGCCATCAATCGCTTTTCAGGCCGGTCGTTGATCGCGGGGCCCCGCTCTGTCCGCGCGGCCCGCCGCGTTGGAACTTCGGCCGTGGCGCGCTGCAGGTCGACGCCCGTGCCTGGGTGCTCTCGGTCACTCCGCCCAGGTCTCGCGATTGTCAGGCGCCCACCGAGGCCCCCGCGTTGCGCCCCCTGGGCCGCGGCCGGGCCTTCCCCTCCCTCGACTAGGGCTCTCTCCAGCTCGCTTTCCAGGCCATGAAGATGCCGGGTGTGTGCCTGGCGTTCGCGAGCTCTCTGTGCTCGGCGATCGAGGCGGTCGCCGCTGTCCGCGGTCGGTCCTCCAGGGTTGGCTGTCTGGGCTGCATTATGCGTTGGGCGCGGCCGCTTTCTTGGCCGACCTCCACGAGTCGCTCGAAGATGCGGGGTTGGGGATTGGTTGCGCCTGCGCTGGTGATATTGGTGGCACCGCTCGGTCCACGCGTGGACTCCTGGACGTTCATCGGGCCGTGTCGCTTGCGAAGGCGCTGTCCAACCTGGCCTTCGAGGTGGCCAACTGCAGGGTGTGCCCTCAGTCGGCGGCCTTCGCGGTGGCCCTTGCTCTGGACGTGTCGGCCCTCGTCGAAGCTGCGATCCCTGGGTGGGCCCCGATCGAGGTGGCCCCGCAGTCGCTGCACTCGGGTCTGTGGCTTGGGTCCGCTGTGTGCCCTCTCGACTGCTGGAACGCACCCGTCGCAAAGTTGCGGCCCAGGGTGCAAGCCGCCGGTCGCGTTTCGAGCCCTGCCAGCCTGTGTAGCTGACTGCGCGGCGCCAGAGCCGTGGTCGTGTTTTGCTTACGTTGCTCAATGTCTGTTGCTACCTCCCGCCGCGCCGAAGTTCGAGTTGCGTGTTCTTGCTCAGACGTTCAGAGCACCTCGGAGAGTTTTCTCTGCTTGCGCGCGGTCGCAGGTCGCCTCGCGGAGCGGGCCCCGCGCTGTGCGCCGGGCGCATCTCCGCGGCGGCGCTGGCGAGGTCCGCGGTGGCCGCCTTCCCCGGGCACGCCAACACTCCCAGGCACCTCAGCTCCTACGTCGCAGAGCGCGTGGGTTAGAAGGCACTTGACATGTTGAGTTCGGAACGGCCCTCCCCTCATGCTGGGCCCCCCCCCTGCCTGCGTGGCGGTTTAAGTTTTGGCGGGTGCAGCTGCTGGTAGCGGCGCCACTTGACCGCCGCGGCCCCTCGCCGCGCCGGCTGCGGATGCCGCGCGCGCGGAGTTGCGAGATGCTTTGGGCCGCCGTCCTCGCCCTCAGCGCGCCGTTCAACGTGCGCCATGGCTTCCTGCTGCTTCCGCCGCCATACTCCCCGTGCTGCTCGCGCTGAGACTCAGGAAAGTTTTCGCGTCGTCATCTGGGTGGTCTTCATGTGATGGACTGGGGTCTGGTTGCTGGCGCGCTCCGCCGCTGTCCGTGCCTGCGGGCATAGGCTGCGCTCCGCGCTTGTGCAGTTGGCTGGATGACATCGTCGAGGATCATTCACTCAACTGGTCTTCGCTGCTGTGCCTTCGGATGCGGAGGTGCCCTGCGACTCGCCTCGACATTGCGTGCGCTGCCGTTCTCTGCGCGCCGCTCGTCGGATCGCTCTTGCTCGCCTCTTCCCGCTGCCGCTGCTGGAGCGTTGAAGCCTGTCTCTGCACTCTCCCGAGACCTTCTCAGTCGTCGCTGCAATGTGTGCCATGTGCAACGCTGCGGGACAGATCCCGCGTTGGCCGCCTCGCGGGAGCAGGTCATCAGCCGTGCGACGGCAGGTGCGGGGTCCATGATTGGCGCGTCCCCGGCAGCTGAGACTCGCGTGGCGCGATTTCGCCGACCTCGCTGTTGCGCCTGGCGATTTGGACACTTCCTTGTCGAGCCCATCGGGGTCTGATGACGATCATTCGCGCGAGACCAATGTGGGCCCCAGTGCTCCCTTGTCACCCGCCCGTGGTCGCCAGCTCGCCCGCCCCGCATAGCTCCGCGGCTGGGCCCTGAGCCGCAGGGAGTATGAGGCGATGGCGATTTCGTGGCGATGTATCTCTCACCGCCCGCGCCTGCTACCGCAATCGCTACGCCAGAGGGTTGGTCCCATGCAGGAGTCAGGACGCGCCCGCTGCCCGACGGCCACGATTTGCTAGAGGTCAGGATCGGCATGCAGCTGGTGCTCCTCGCTCTGCGCGCTGGCCGCCCCCCAACCAGGTTCCCGGGGCGCCTTCCGGGAACCTGACTTGCCGCGCGAGCCTGGGCCTGCCGGGTGCTCTTCGAGCCCGCTTGTGCCAGGTTGCGCCGCCTCATCTTTGCTGGATGCCGCGTCTTGCGGAGAGCCGGGATCGGCGAGAGCTGGGTGCTCCGCGAGCTCACTCGTTGTCTCGTTGTCGCCTCGCGCTTTGCCACCCTGCCCAGTTGCCCCAGGGAGAGGGCCTTGTATGCGATGGCCATCGAATCTACGTGGGCCAACTGCTTGCCGGATTGGTTCTCGAGCATCCCAGATTTGGTCGGCGACTCCATTGGTTGGTGCTTCCTCGACGTTGCGGACCTGCTAGGGTTCAGTGGCACTCTCGTCGTTGACGTCTGTTCGTGATGCCGCTGCGAGCAATCTACCGTTAGCGCTTGCGTCATCCGCCCCTCCTCGGCCACCTTGCCACATCCTTGTCCCTCACGCTCTGTCCCTCTTTTCCAGCGCGATGCCTGTTGCCCCATTTCCGCATCCTTTTCTCCCCCCCTGTCCTTCGCTCCCGATCGCTGCTGGTGCTCCTGCGTTGCCCCCCACCTTCTCCCCTCTCTCTCGGCTCCCTCCGCCGCGTTCTCGTTTGCCCCTGCGCCGTTCTTTTTCCCCCGCCGCTTCTTCCCTGTCGTCCGCCCATCTCTTCGTCCCCCTCTTTCCTCTCGTGGCCTCCCTGTCGCTCGCCGATCGCTCGCTCGCCTCTGCTGCAGTGATCGAAAGAGCGGCTCCTGCTGCCGCCTGGCGCGATGTCGGCGCCCGCGACGCCCCCTCGGAGCCCGGGGAACCGGGCGAGGCCGGGAGCGCCCACCGCCGTCCCGTGCGCCAGCGGGCGGGGCGAGCTCCGCCTCCGCACTCGTCGCCTCCTCGCGCCTCTCCTCCCCCCCTTGCTCGAGAAAGGAGCAGAGAAGCACCGCCGACGTCATCGCGAGGTGCACCCACCGTGGCCCCCCAAATGCCGGTGCAAATTCCGCGGCGGCTGGCCTTCGACGTGCTGGTCGCCTGCGTGATTGAGGTCTCTCCCCTCGACGGCGGACAGGTGCCGTCCTCAGACGGCGCGGGCGGCGTCCTCAGCAGACCACTGTGCTGTGGCGTCCGCGCGAGTCCCCAGGGCTCACCTCCCCCACCTATTCCCCGGCCTCGTCGTCGTTTTCGTCGTCGTCGTCTTTTTCGTCGTCGTCGTCGTCGTCGTCGTCGTCGTCGTCGTCGTCTTTTTCGTCGTCTTTTTCGTCGTCGTCATCTTTTTCGTCGTCGTCGTCGTCTTTTTCGTCGTCGTCGTCGTCGTCGTCGTCGTCGTCGTTGTCGTCATCATCTCCCCCCTCTCCCTCATCCTCCTACTCCTCCTCCTCCTCCTCCTCCTCCTCCTCCTGCATGCCGTCCGCCGCACGCCCATGGCTTTCGAGGAGGCGTTGAGGAAGAGGAGGGGCCTCGGTCGGATCCTCCTGCGGAGTCCTGCTCAGGATCGGGGAAGTCCACGCCAGGGCCTGTCCCGCTCCCCCCTCCCGAGAAGGAGGAATTGGGCCTAGTCGCGTCCGCCTGGGAGAAGCCTTGCTGCCTCTCCCTGGGCGCGTTCGGAACAGGATTCCAGGTCGAGTCCAGCCGTGGCGATGGGGGCAGACATACGGACGGGCAGACAGGCAGACAAACAGACAGACAAACAGGTGGGTTGGCAGTGAGGCGAAACGAGGATAAATGGGCGACGCTTCAAACGCGCAGGGCAACTGGAGAAGGAAAGGGGAGGGTGGGAAGGATGAAGGCACAACACAGAGGCGCCCAAAACAGGCTTCCTCAAACTTTGCGACGCCTTGGCGTGCGTCGGCTTTGCCGACTCCAGGGGCTGTGCCAAGACCTCTTGGCCACTGACCGCTTCTGGGAGGCCCCTCGTGGCGAACACGAGGGAAGGTTCGCGTCACAGTAGGCACTTTAAGCACGAAGGCCTCGGGGACGAATAGAAGCTCTGGGCTCATTCTGGAGTCCAGGGATCAACCAAGAACGTGCCTACAGACTTTCTCCAACAGTCTGTCAATCGGTGTTCTTGTGCCCCCCCGCGCAGGAGGAGCTCTGCATGCTCCTGCCCGAGGACTTCGAGGGCGCTGGGTGATGTGGGCGGCGGCCCACGTCTCGCGGAACCCGGACCTCTTGGCGCCTAGGATCGAGGACACAGGATCTAGCCCTTTGACGCCTTCGGGCGTTTTTGGGCGTCTCCTGGGCCGCCCTCGTTGCCACAGCTGGATTCCGCCTGGAGCCAAAGGGGCAACATTCCATGGAAATGATGATGCGTTTCGCGATTTGTTTCAGATTGGCTGGAAGGCTCACGACCGTGGCCGCTAGAAGGCGGGGCCAGACACGAGCGTTCAGAAGACGGTTCCTCGCGGGGCGCAGAAGCAGTGGCCTCCAGATGCTCCAGACAGCCCAGAACGCGCCCTGCGCCAGCCGCACCATGACATGAGCCTCTCCCGGTGGGAGGAGTCGGCGTGGGCCACCCCCGCAGGAGAGGCCCAGGCGTTGGCGTCTGAGGCCCAGGGCCGAGGCCCTGTGTGCCCTGTGTGAGGGGAAAAACACACAGACACAATGAATCGTCGATTTCCAAGAAAATATGGGAAACGATGGGAAGTGGGGGGGAAGGCAAAAACCCAGAAAGTATGGGAAAATCTGGGGGATCCTGTCATTTGTGTGTATTTCTTTGTGTGTCCTGGGGCCCCTTCGTTTTTCCCTCGGAGAAGGCGTGCATCTCGGGCACCGCATTTCCTTTTCCGCGGAGCTGGGCCCGTCCGCGGGCCCGGCGGCCCCGCTCCGGTCCGTCGCGGCCACAGTTTTCCAAGCGAGAGGCCCGTCTGCGGCCCGGCGGCCCCGTGTCTGTCCCGTTGCCGCACCCCCACAGACTGCACCACCTACAGTCGACCCGCAGAGTAAGGATATGCATCCCTCCCAAGGGTACCCTTGCATCCTTGCTTCCTGGGTCCATCCTTGGACACTTCCGTTGGCCGCGCCCCGCTCGGGAAGCTTCGGAATGGGCGTCCAAGGCCCTTGCACCCTTATCGCGCATCCTTACTCTGCGGGTTGACTGTACTTCATAACGCATAGTTCGCCCCGCTGCAGCTTACACCACACAGCTTGCACCACGTCGGCTGCACCACGCAGGCTCCGCAACATGGGGTGCGCCACGCAGCTTGCGCCACACAGCACGCACCACATAGTTTGCACCACATGGCTTGCACCACACAGATTGCCTTACCTAACTTGCACCACATAGCTCACACCACAACTTGCACCAAGCGGATCGCACTGCGTAGATAGCACCGCTTAGCTTGCACCACATAGCTTGAACCGCATAGTTTGCACCACGTGGCACGGCATAGTAGGGCGTAGAAGAGCACGGCATAGCGTAGCATGCTATAGCATGGCGTGGCGTTGCGTAGTGAAGAATCGCACCACAGAGCGTTGCAACGCAACGAATGGCATCGCACGGCGGCACAGCACACAACACCGCACAGCATGTCATGGCATGGCGCCAGGTTCCTTGGAGGGCACGTAGATCGTGTTCGAGAAGTCTGGGCTGGTCTGGAGTCGTGGCGCCATGTCTAGCTCCTTGGGCTCCCCGAACAGCTTCACACAAGGCGGGGCTGATGCTGAGCTCCCGCTGGCTCTGCTTTCAATATCGCCTTCTCGAAGCAGAAGCAGGGCTACGGCTTGATACGTCCTGAAAGCGACGACGCCCCAAGTGAGGCTTCTGCGGTCCGAGAAATCAAGGAATCGACACCGCATGTGTAATCAATTCAGATGTTTTTTTCCAGGGGGGCATTTTCTAGATTTTTGGGCATGACATCGCACAGCGGAACACCACATAGCATTGCATTGCATGCCGTGGCATGGCACTGGAAATAGTGACGCCAGCGCTGCAGCGGGAGCACGATTCGGAATGAGCGGAAGCGCAGAATGAGGCCAGTGCTGCAGCGGGAGCACGATTCGGAACGCGCGGAAACCCGAAAATGAGGCCAGCGCTCCAGCGGGAGCAACATTTTGAAACCAAACCCGAGCGAAAACCCAACTCCCGGGAATCCTGTGTATAAGCAACAGTGCGCGGAGGGGGGCCGGACATCTTCGGGACGTCAACAGGGGAGAGAGGAGAGTAGTATTCATATTGTGTTGCGCAGGAAGAGGGGGAGGAGGAGGAGGAGGAGGAGGAGGAGGAGGAGGAGGAGGAGGAGGAGGAGGAGGAGGAGGAGGAGGAGGAGGAGGAAACGAACGCCATAGGGAAACCTTAGGTCGAGCTCACGTAAAAAGGAGGAGGGGCAGAAGGAGGAGGAGGAGCAGGAGGAGGGGGAGGAGGAGGAAGAGGAGGAGGAGGAGGATCAAATCACCATCGAGGCTGACCCACACCAAGTTCAACCATTTTTTTGATGTAAGCAAGCATTGGCGACCAGGCGCGTTGGCAAGGCCATGTTTTTGCTCGAAGGCCGTGACGGACGCTGGCGTTGTTTCACCATTGTTGATGCAACAGGCGCACATGTTGAGGTAGTCTTGGCGCTGGACGAATCTTCAGCGATGGTCAAGTCAGCGGGCGCGCTCAAAAGGACGAGACAATTGCTGGAGGAGTTGTGCAGCATCCGCGCGCACAACATGCGCTTCTTCACGGGCCGGCAACAGGGCATCATGTCGGCGAACTGGAAGCAGTTTTTCCGTGACACGGTGTCGGTTCTTGGTGTGGCTGCGACAGTCGAACGCGCAGACAATTACATTATCAATTTGGGCTTGTGCATGGACGCGATCAACAGCAGATCGTGGCTGCGCTGTCCCCGTCGGCCGGCCCAACCAGCTACCTAACTCTTTGTTGAAGATATGGACTGCGACATCGCATGGCCCTCCTCTCTTCGGAGCCCCGTGGAACGCACAACCGCTGTTCCACCACCGTCGCAGAGTGCTAGACCGTACGTTGGGCTACCACAGCCAAGTGCTTGTCCACGGGTGCCTGGTCGCAGTTCAGGAGAGCCGCTGCTCGCGATGTGAAGTGGACGATTCTTTTTTCACCACCTTCGTAAGTCCTTCCTCGCCGACCCCCCTTTTTGCGACGATGCGTCGAGCAGGTTTCGGAGAATCGTCACGTTTGTGTCCAATTGGTTGTGAAGCTTCCTGGAGCTAATCGTCTCAAGGTTTGGCTTCCAAGGTGGGGTCCAACAGATCATGATCAGGCTTTCTTGCGGAATTTTGGGCACCCCACTGGAACGTGCATCACCGCGATGTCAACGCGTGTTTCCGCAATTTGATATTTCAGACTATCCGGGGCGATGTGGCCAGGGTTCGACAGGATCCTGTCCGCTCGTCAATTGTCTTAGTAGGGGACTTGAGTATATTGGCTTCGCCTTGGCGCCTTCCGTGAAACCATCCGTTTGTCTAGCAGCAAAATGCAAAGGTGGATATGGCAACGGGAATTGGTTTGGAAGGAGCTTTTCAGAGTCATGGTGAAGGCGGCGCGCTCTACCTCTTGTTCGGAGAGGGTTCTCCTGTCAACGCCTGAGTGGGCGGCCGCCCGGCCGGGCGCAGCTGGGCAGGTGCGCGGACCCCCAGAATTCACAGACCAGCCCGACGTGGCCGACCATGCAGTAGCCTCGACGGTTCTGTGCCCCAGGGTCCCAGGGTCCCGCTCGAGCCAGAAGACCGACCTGTCCACCCCGCGGCGTCAAAGAATCGTGCCTGGAAACAGGTCGTGCAAGCTGCTGCAGTGGATGTGGGCACGAGCTTACTCTCGCCACCGCTGTTCTTCGCCTTCCACAAAAGCGTCATGCACAGTGAGGCCCAGCATGCCAGATATATGATGGCCCTCGCGAATCCTGGGCCCCCCTCGCCCACCTCGCCATGTGCAAGTCTCTCTCTCTTTTTCTCTCTCTCTCTCTCTCTCTCTCTCTCTCTCGCGCCGCCGTCCAGACAGAATTGCCACTCGGACGCCGATGGTGCTCGGCCATCGTCTTGGCCGTCACTGCCTCAGGGTCGACGGCCGAAAGTTTGCGCTCGCGTTGCCCCCGTCGAGTTCGCGATGGCCGCGAACCGTGCGCGCTGCAAATCTGCGGAGAAGGGAAAAGCCCAGGCGCGCAGCGAGGTGGGCCCCGGGGGCCTCAAGAGGATCCCGAAGAGGCTTCGCCGTCGACTCCGAGGGCTCGCTGGCGTCTCCAAGCCGCGGTCGCCATTCGATCGCCAACTGGCATTGCAGGGGGTCGAGCGCGAGAGCGTTGCGCGCGCGACCCTGAGCGGTGCGCCGTCGGCGCCGGGGCAGCAATGGGGGAGGGGCATTCGGCGAGGAGAGTATCAGTAAGAATAGTGATAATAATAATAATAATAACAATGCTAACAACAATAATACTAGTAATGACAAGGAACTTCTCGACGAACGGTCGCCCCGGACTGACCTCGGCAACCTCGCTCTTCCTTCGCGGCCCACTATCCAGAAGGTCCCTGGGGGCCGCCTCCCCGCGTGCCTCGGGGCCCGCGGGCCTGCCGTGGCTTTGCAGGGGGCGGGCGCCCAGGTGGTGCCCGCCTTCTAACGCCCGTTCTTTGGCGGTGCCTGCGCGGCCGGCGCGCGCTGCGAGACTTTGACCTTCCTCGCGAAGTCTGCATGCCGGAAGGAGAAGAGAGCGGAGACTGCGGACATCCAGCGCGCGAGGCTTGCCAAACTTGCCCACTCGGTCTTGATGGCGCAGGTGCGAAGGTGATTGCGACAGCGGCCTTCTGGTCGCTCTCAGCCGAGGCCCTACGCGCCCCCCCCCCCCCCCCTCTCCAGAGCGCATTCGTCATGGGAAGGGTTCGTGGCCTCGACGTTGTAGAGTTGGACATGTACGCTCGCGCGGCTTCCATGCGCAAGTCCGCCCCCCGCCCCCCCCCCGCGCCCGCGTCAGTTCTGATTGCGCCCGCGTCTTCCCGGGCATCGCCCACTCTTGGCTCTGCCTTGTCCTCGAGTCCCTTCGCCTCCGACCTGCCCCCCTGCGTACTTCGCGCGCTGTTTACATGCGTGTATCTATCGATCTGTCGCTAGATATTCATATATCTATACGTTTGTGTATACAAGCATGCATATACATGCATGTGTGTGACGCAATGCCTTCTGCCTGGCGCAAGCTGGGTGTGCCCTCCTCACAATTACCTTCGCCCCCTCGGGCATTCTTCATCGCGCGTGCCCAGGCGGCGGAACTCTGCGCGCCCTCGCCTCTCACGCGTTTCTCGCCGTGCCAGAAGACACCAATGAGGAAAGACCCCTGCAGCAGAGGGCGCCGCCCGAGGGCCCCCGCGCCTTGCGTAGATCCTGCTGCGGTCTCGCTCGAGCGTGCGCGGATGACCTGGGGGCCGCTGCCCATTTACTCCGTGGTCTCAAAGTCCCGTGCAAAGTGTCCGGGTGCGCCGCGTAGTTCGCGTCCTTGCAGTCGAAGCCATGCGCGCGTTTTCTGGCGCCCCTCGCGGGCCAGTCCCCGTTGGCCGAAAGGTGTCGGGCCGGGCTCGGTGGAGTGATGCTGGCCTGGAAAGGCTTCCAGATCGTTCCTGCGTTGCCGCGTCCAGGGATGATGTCCGGGCCGCGGGCCCGCGGGCGCTCTTGGAAGCAGACGCTCGGAGTTGCTCGAAGCGCTGCCCAGTCATTGCCAGCATTTGTTGTTGTCATGATGCATCGCGCGAGAGCGAGGGCCACCCTCTCTTACGTTGGCCAGCTCCTCAGGTGCCCAGAGGCTGAGCGCGCTGTGCTGGCCTCCATCTTCCGAGTCCCTGATTGCGTCATGCTGCTCTCAGATTATTGCGCTATCCACGCCTGGGGCGCTCCCAGGTTCGGAAGTAGAGTGGCCGCCAGTCTTGCTGAGCGAATGAGAACTGCACTGTGCACCGCGGGTGGGGTCCCGTGTTGAGGAGACTGAGAGCTGCTGCCGGTGCTCCGCGAGCGTTCAGGTTCGCGCGTGCTGGCCAGCAGTTTCCCGCTTGTTGGGCTGACGTCCGCCTGACGGTACTTCTCGAGGAAGCGTCTCTCGGTTTCCCTGCTGCCCCCCTCCCTGGCCCCGTTCGGGCGCGCGGCGCTGGCGGCTGCCCGCCCCTCTCCCTGCTCTGGCCGATCCGTCTCTCCGGCTGCGGGCCCTCGCCTGAGGCTTCGCGGAGAGCCATCGCCTCTGTCTTCTAGGACCGTCTCTCTCTCTCTCTCTCTCTCTCTCTCTCTCTCTTTCTCTCTCTCTCTCTCTCTCTCTCTCTCTCTCTCTCTCTCTTTCCGAAAGAGATTCTTGACGCATGCAGTTTGCTTATGTTGACGCGGCCCCCTGAGCGCTCTCTTTCTTTTTCCCGAAGGAAATTCTCGACGCATGCAGTTTGCTAATTCTGACGTGGGCTCTCTAAGCTCGCGGCCCCAGTCGACCTGATTGAGTGGGATCGCTCGCGGGAGGCTTGCCTGAAGCCCACCCCGGCCCAGCGCTCCCGTGCGATTCAAGATCCTCGCCGCTGGTTGGACGACGCAAGCGCCAGGGCTCCAGGCTGTGCAGCTTCGGAGGCGGACCGCGTCCCCCACTGAGTTCTCGTGCTGCGCTCCGTCTTCCCATGCCCATGTGGACCCCCTCGCTCGTCTTTTCTGCTCCCGCCCCGCATCGCTGCCAATTTCTGGATATCATGCCGCGCATCCGTCCCCGAGGCGCCTATTGCCACACAGGCCAGTGGGTAGCGTTTCGTTGCCAGCCGATCGCGCTGCAGTCACCATGCACGGGCTGACAATTTCTGCTCGCTGGTCCTCTGTTGTATAACACGCTTTTGTGAACAAAAAAACAAGCGCCTATCTCGGCGCACGGGGTCTCGGGGGCGGCGCCACAGGCGCGCGCTGCCCTTTGGTGCTGCGAGCCAGGACGAGAAGGAAAGCGGGGCGACGTCCAAACGTCCGCCCCATTGGCGCGGAGAGGCCCGAAGGGGGCCGTGCGGCGAGGCGGCGAAACCGCCAGACGTCTTGCAGTGTGGAAGAAAAGGCGATGACGACGACGACGGCAAGAGGGAGGACGAAGGGAGAGGACGAGGGAGGAGAACGAAAACGAGGACGGGTGGGCCCGACATCGGGGCGAGGACTCCATTAAAGTGATCGTTCCAGCGTCTTTTTCTTTATTTGGCATCGCGGCGTTTTTCTCCGATTTCAGTGCCGGGTGTCGTTTCCAGGCCCTGAGGACATTCAAGCAATTGAGCCGAGATGATAGACAGCACCCCAATGGATGAGGAGGAGGAGAGGAAAAGGAGGGAAGTGGCAGGACGAGGATGAGAAGGAGGACGGGGGAGGAGGAGGAGGAAGAGGAAAAGGAAGAGGAGGAGGAGGAGAAGGAGGAGGAGGACGATGTGCAGGAGGAGGAGGAGGAGGAGGAGGAGGAGGAGGAGGAGGAGGAGGAGGAGGAGGAGGAGGAGGAGGAGGAGGAGGAGGAGGAGGAGGAGGGAGGAGGAGGAGGGAGGAGGAAGGAGGAGGAGGAGGAAGAAGAAGAAGAAGAAGAATAATAAGAAAAAGAATAATAATAATAAGAATACTAATAAGAAGAAGAAGAAGAATAAGAAGAAGAAGAAGAAGAAGAAGAAGAAGAATAATAATAAGAAGAATAATAAGAATAATAAGAAGAAGAAGAAGAAGAGGAGGAGGAGGAGGAGGAGGAGGAGGAGGAGGAGGGGGAGGGGGAAAGGACGGGGGAGGATGGGGAGGAAGAGGGGGG